TAAAGACCCTTATTGGTTGGTCCTCAAATGTTATTGGTTAGTTCAATAAAGGGGTTCAAGCCACAAACCAATAAGATCAGCTGTTTTATTGGTTTCTTCCCACATTATCGAAAGCAGCGTTTTTTATTGATTCTTTCCAATAAAGCGCTCTCTGGGTATCGCTCCCTCCCAGCGAAGCTCTCCGCAAGCTATTTGCACGCTTTCATGTCCGTCCAGCATGCTGTATCGCTTCCTCCCAGCGAAGCTTTCCCCAAGCTATTTCCACGGTTTCGTGTCCGTCCAGCATGTTGTATCGCTCCCTCCCAGCGAAGCTTTCCGCAAGCTATTTCCACGTTTCGTGTCCGTCCAGCATGCTGTATCGCTTCCTCCCAGCGAAGCTTTCCCCAAGCTATTTCCACGGTTTCGTGTCCGTCCAGCATGTTGTATCGCTCCCTCCCAGCGAAGCTTTCCGCAAGCTATTTCCACGTTTCGTGTCCGTCCAGCATGCTGTATCGCTTCCTCCCAGCGAAGCTTTCCCCAAGCTATTTCCACGGTTTCGTGTCCGTCCAGCATGTTGTATCGCTCCCTCCCAGCGAAGCTTTCCGCAAGCTATTTCCACGTTTCGTGTCCGTCCAGCATGCTGTATCGCTTCCTCTCAGCGAAGCTCCGCAAGGCTCTTATGGTGTCCAGCGTCGGTCTGTTTTCATAACGAGAGCTGGAAGATGTTATTTGGAGATACATGCTCTCATAGGAATGCCAATGATATCATGATGGTATATAACTATGGTTGCTGCAAGTGTCACTGCATCCACCACTTTGTTTATTGTGTGCTGCACTACTTCTCTCTTCTTTCGTTTCTTCCTAAAGCCCCCCCTGGTTGGCGGGTCCAACTGTACATAGTAGCCACCCTTCTTGGGCCCTCCCCTTTTGGGGGGGGGGACCCACAAGCCTTGTCTCTCGGTTGACATGTTGCGCAACTCAGTAGGCGGGTTGGCCCTGGTCAATGCACATGATGACGACATTTTGCGCAAATATGCGTTCGCAGCATGAAAATTTTGATTTTAAGATGCCTAGGCATGAAAGCGAAGTCAAGTGTAGTTTGGTTCGAGGTGGACATGTCAGCCTTTTGGATGTTGGTTTTTGTTGTGACAACAGCAGCAACCAGTTTCTTGCATTTTCTGCTGCAAGGAAAGATTGGAGCTAGATGCCGAGTGGCGCGCTCTCCCCCCCATGGTTGGGGGGTCCAACTGTACATAGTAGCCACCATTCTTGGGCCCCCCCACCAGTCCAACTGTACATAGCCTTTGGTGCTATGGAAAGTGGAGAGGCAAATGCAGGATGCATTACTTCTTCCTTAATTCTTCCCAAGACCCCCCCTTGGTTGGGGGGTCCAACTGTACAGTAGCCTTTCTGCTTAGGCCCCCCCCTCTTTGGGGGGGGGCATTGCGGTGCCAGAGCTGCATTTCTTCTTCCTTTTTTCCTTCCCTCTGATGCCCCCCCATTTAAGGGGGGGCCATGCCTAAATGGATAATGCAAAGACAAATGCGGCAACCTTGCTTGGCACCCCGCTATAGGGGTGGTCAAGACGCAACACGAGGGAAGAAAAAAAAGGCCATGGAGCGAGGCACTCATGCAGATGTCTCTCTACATCCTCCATAGCCTCCTTATATGATATGCATATATATATAATATACATTATATACATATATATATATATACATACATATATATATATTTTTACGTAGGGGTCCATGACGATGTTGTTTTAAGGGATGTGGGTTTGCATGGTGGTTCCTGGAGGTTGGGGGACACGGTAAACCCCAGAAAAAAACAATACCAGTGCTTCCTGGAGTTTGGGGGTCATGGCAAGCCCAAAGAAAAAACAACACACATTTTACCAATTTATTTTTGGTGGTTAAATGCTACATGATGTATTGTTGCAAAGCCGGTTGTGGGGCAACAACCCATATATATATATATCGTGTTTTTCAATCCTGGGATGCATCCCTCATGTTTTCCAAACACAAAGTTGGAAACAAAATCCAAGATTTGATGTTCACCAATTTCCGTTTGGTCATCCAAAACAAACGTTTTCTTCAACCTTGTGGTCACCAGATGGGGTCACCAAAATGAGATTTTGATGTGGGATCTTTCGTGGTGGTTCCAAACATGGGTCTTCATCAAAAGAAACTACCAAAATCAGGTTGGATGGGAACCCTTGAGGGTGTTAACATTGCGCACTTGCACCGGTGCTATCCAGCAAGCCAAGCTTGCCAGGGGGCAAAACTTGTGATGGCACATGTCAGTTCTATTTCCACCCAGCAATTATGGGACCATACGCCCAAAACCTTGGATGGAGAATTTGAAACATGCATAAGCACGCATACCCAGTAGATCGAAACAATATAGATATACATATAAATAACAGGACACACATATTCACTTCCTCTTTGTGGATTTTCCCTCCAACATTTCTCCAAGTATATCCTCTTTCGAAACGTAATTAGGTCTGTAAGTGACCTCAATCGCAAGAAACTTGGGAGTTCCGGCAGTGCGGCGCCATGCGCTGATGTTTTGATCTGGCGATGATTGAGATCGCTTGTCTCTGCCGACGCCCTAGTTTCAAAACAGGATCCAGGATCTCTTTGCTTTGGGATTCAAAATTTGAAGAGTCGCCTAATTTGAATGCAAGGGATGATCAATGCGAACTGTGGCATGGGTCGAAGGTATGAATCCACCAACATGGAATAAATCTATAGTTGATACAAGGTTGTAGGTTGGAATCCAAATCAATATGACACCTCCCAGAATGAACTACCCCCAATTAGGATGTTCCAAAAAGTTTTACTGTCTCAAACAATTGTGACCAGTTTTTGGTATTCTCCTCATTCTGTGAAACCACAAACCACCAATTGGGGATATACTGCAATGCAAAGGATGTATCCACCCAGGATGAAGCAAATTCCAAAAGAATCCATCTATTTGCTGGGCATCCTCGAAAACTGGAATGATTATTAATGCATCTCTAGATCTTGTAACTCTAGTATAAGCCCAAGGTTTTTTGGCCCTTTTAGGGATCCTGCCAACGGCTGACCGACCGCAAAGGCCGAAGTGGTCATGGTGACCAACTCATTCGCATTGCCTTCTTAGATGGAGAAGGCAAGCATGTGACAGGGGTTCAGGGTGCCCTTGGTGCTGGGATTCACTCTAAGAAGGTTACTGCTCAGTCTTGGAACCGTGGGATATCGTGGGATTTTTCAACTGGAAAGTGCACTCATGTTGTATAGGTAAAGTTTGTTGATACCCACCAAAAATGACATGGACAACCTTTTGTGCCTTCAGGCCATTTGGTTCAGGCTGCAGGGTTGATCTCAATCACTAGTGGGGTGATTTGCTATGGCTGTGGTCGCAGCACATGAGCACCAGCGTGCTTTGATTGCGCCAGAGGATTGGAAGTCTACTCGCCTTTTGCCACATTACTGGTACATTCTTTTTGGGGGCAACCCCACACCCCATATAAGATATAGGGATCCGATTTTGTTTCATTTGTTCTTCCCTTCCACATTGATTTACGAACCAACTCAGGACACGGGAAAAAGTTCAATGGACGAAGGACCAAGTTGTATCATGGCATGCATATGTGTTTAAAGAATTGTTAGCAACGAACCACCCATAAGAGACAGATTTGCAATTAGAATTCCCTTAGTACATTTAATTGGGGTTCATTGGGATTCATTTCTCTAGAAACATGGATTGGGGATCCAGTTTTTGAGGCACAAATGGCCAGAGCCATGTTGGAACACATCCCGGAAAGAGCGAAGAGCCTCATCCTCACTGGAGCTATTTCTGGTAGCAGCATGTTCTTGCTTGCAGATGACTCAGGTGTAACCCGTCCCAACTACAAGGACCTTACACAATGGGGAACTTGATGTTGAAAATGTGTTTCAAGGGGTCTTCTCAATAGGTGTGGAAATGTTTGGGGTTTAATATACATAGATAGATTGGGGTTTAAATACATATATAGATTGGGGTTTAAATACATATAGATATATATATATATACCATGTATATATATATATATACATATGTAAATAAACAACCCTTTAGGACATCAGCAACAACTTTGTTTGGTTGCGAGCATGGTGTGAATTCTTTCCTGACCATGTGCCGTCCGGGTTCTTTATCATAGACTCTCTGTTGGTCCTTGACTACTTTTTGATGGACAAGATGCTCTTGCCAGAGGGTAAGGCTACGTGTGACCGGGAGACCAAGGTTGAGCTTGCTCGGCAGGAAACCAACAAAATGAAGCGCCTTCTAGGTGCGTTGCGCTACTTGTGGAGGAACGGTTTCTTGAACACAAGAGCCTAAGATATGGGTGTCTTATGTTTTTTTCCTTTTGGCAAAGTGGTTGCATATTGCAATACCGTCAAATTTCATGTTTCAGTCGGCTGCAGAACATGTTATGAGGTCCAGGATCTCACGACGAGCGCGTTCGAATCTTGAAGTCCTACCTCAAGCCCAGTCCAAGTGCCCTTGTTTCTTCCTCCTAGCATTGGAAATGTGCATAGTTTCTGTTTCAAAGTCTGATTTCCATGTTGAATATTTTGTATCCAACAGATTCCAATAGTATATACATATTTTGAACCCACACACCCACACACGCACATGTATATATATGTATGTATATTATATAATAGAGACATGTATACTTTTACACTATACAGCTATTCTTTTGCATGCCACATATATGCATAGTTAAATTGTCTTTCAGATGTGGCATGTGTGGGGAAGAAGTGAGGCTCGACGTGAAGCTGTAGCCGAACGTGAGCCCAGCAGCGACAGTGAGGACTAAAAAATGGGGCAAAAACATGTCTCCAGTAGAATGATATAGAGGGTCTAGGATACTGTAGTATGGTCCAACATGCAGTTTGTCCCGTATACCTCCGAACCTGTAGGAAGAGCAAGCCCCCGTGAATGACACAGAGTCTGACGCAGAAGAGGAGGAGGAAGATGACGAGAACATGAACGATGATGATGTTTGTGATCCCAATGCTTCCAAGTCCCCCATCATTCCTGTTGACAGTCAGGAAAGTGCAGGGGAGTCAGAGACTGAGGAGAGCCTTGACCCTGCCCTCGTCTTTGACAGGAACCCAGATGACTTGTCAGACTCGCCTGACACGCCCACCACAGAGTCAGGCACCACGCTGATCTTGCCCGGGGTGAAGCGCACGCTTTATGTCCCACCGCCCCTACCACCCGATGATCTCATGAGTTCCGATGATGAGGACCAGGAAGGGAGTTGAGGGCAAAGATTTAACAGTTTTGGGGATGGCGCAGAAAACCTTGAACCCCCCTATAGGAAAACCATCGTGACCACCACTCAGTTCCTCGACAGTATCGCTGTATATTAAGTTGTGTTGACCATTGCTGTGTGTGAAGGGTTGCATGATAGTAGCATACATATATACACACACACACATATATATATATATATTAGAAAGCTCCTGTTCTAAGGAAGATGCTTTGCGAGAGGCTCTCCACTTCATGGGGTTAGAATCTCATGGTGCGAAATTACCTCTTCCTCCCAGCTCATTGAAAACGCTCCCATTGCCAGTGCCTGACTGCTTGAATGATGTTGCTACGCATCTATCCCAAAGCGGTTCACCTTTTGTGGGTCTCCAGGTGCTTACCAACCAATCAGGTTTATGTTTGTTTCCCATGATAAATCCGATAAAATTGCATCACATTGATTCAATGAAACCACATTTAACAGGATCGATTTTGGGGCAACTTTCTGGTCAGAATTACCCTCATCAAAAAGATACTATCCATCCCATTGGGTTAAACATGTCAACGCAACTGCACATCCCTTCAGGTCAAAGATTCGAAAGGGAAGAAGGGCAACAAGTCTAGCGGCTCCGGGAAGAAGTCCAAGGCATCCTTTCGCCGTGGCGTGGGGCGTCCCAAGGCTAAGAAGCCCAAGCGATGGTCTGGAGCTGGTGCCCTTGAGGTCTGTGGCCATGTCAAAAGATATACCCAACCAATATTTGAGAGGATGTCCCATTTACAACATACATCAATATCTAATGCTTGAAGGGGATGCTCCACTATATAACAAATGTTTCAGAAAAAGATCAATTGAAATCTTTTTGGAAACAAAACCCTGATCAGGAGTATGGCGAGTATTCCTTGAAGGATATTCCAATGGCTGCTCGCCCACAGCCAGACTGTATCCACAGGGGAAAACATTCCTACACTGTGAAAACAGCTGTCAGGGATCCCGGGGATGAGATGCGAGAGGTTCTTGTGGATGTCTTACTGAGAGCAAAGGCATACTATGTGAAAAAAGCAGCGCCAACAGGACGTTGCGGCCAAATCACGTGGAAAAAATTCGGTGGCCCAAAGGCAGCGTGGAGTGTCACTATGGACCAAGCCCGTTGTGGAGGGGTCCCATAAAAGTGTTTGATCATGGCCCTGCATTTGTGCCAGCTCAGGAACGCACCCATTGTGCTTTTATGTTCCAATTCAATTTGTTGTTTTGGTATTGGTAAAAAAAACAAAACCGGCTGTGTTTCGACAGTTTGATTGCTCTAGAAGAGCCATGGCACACGATCTTGTTTGAGAGTCAGCTTGAGCTGCTCCCCAGGGAATGCACCTAGTGATTTGGGGTGCTGAATGCGCATCGCATTTGGTTGGGGTGCTGGAGCATTACCCATACAGGGAAACATGGCTCGCTGGTTGAGTTTGTCATATATACGTAGGTGTCGCAGTGGATCTGGTCAAGCGGGAAAAAGTATCTGGTCCCACAAAGGGATCTCATTAGTGCTTTGATTGCTAAAGAGACGTTTCCGAAATCTTCAGAAACAATCCAATTTGAGGGAATGCACCTTTCAAACACCAAAATTCAAAATATGCTCAATTGCTCCAAGAAGTTCTGAACGTTCTGAACTTAAAACAAATGCAAGGTATCACCAACCAGTCCCCAACCCTTCCATGGAGTCCTGAGTGTGTTGTTTCCTTTGTGCCTGGGCAGGTGCACAAGATAGATCAAAGAGCGAATGAATGAGGAGGCCAGGTTTACCCAGTGTTTGGGGAACTCAGGGTCATGGATGTTGGAAGCCATCATCAATCAGTAAAAATGGTTTCCTCTTCAACCATGTTTGAAATGTTTCCATCATGATCCCATGCAACAGTGGCAATCGTTGATTCTTAGTACCGCCATCCAGTTGATGAAAGAAAGGTTTTCTCTTGAACCATGTTTGAATGTTTCTCCCACCATGGCCCATGCAACAGTGACGTTTTTTGATTCTTAGTATCGCCATGCAGGTGATCCAAGAAAGGAAAGCTCAGAAATGCCGAGGCCGGACTTCCGTCCGAACAGGGGTGTGCAAATCGGAACATCCAACAAGAGATTCTAGATCACCCCAATGCATCTATCACATACTATACGTGATCATGTTGCATGTCTTGTATCAAATGTGATTGACTGCTTTAGCTGTTTTCCTCAACACACCCAACGGCTGCAGTGGCCAACATGGGTAAGTCTTGTCGAACCATTGCCAAAAAGGCATCTCGGCAGAGTATGCAACAGATGGCACCCATGACCAGTCGACCAAAGGGAGGCTATCGCAACAAGCAGAAATCGACCATCCTTTGTGGCTTACGTGCTTTGGGGGCTCCTGCAGCTGCTTATCCCAAAATGTTTATACAATCAAATTGTGGTTGTTCACCCCAAACAATTTGGGAATTTGTGTGGCTACTTACCCCAATCAATTTGTGAATCATTTTGTGAATTGTTTTTTCTTGGGGCTGTACTTGATCGGTCATTAGATATTGCAGTCTTCCAACCATACAACCTTCCAAACCACCCAGATCTTAGGTGATAGCCTTCATAGTTGCTTTGATCTTTGCCCAGAAGGATCTTCCTTTCAGCAGTGGTGGAGCCTTAGATCACTTGGAGTGCTTCTGCGGCGAACAATCGGTCACACTCGGGGAGCTGGAGGAATCAGTCTGGGTCCAGTGTCAAAAGAAAAGGGTGCCCATAGATGGGTTCTGGAAATGGGAGATTAGCTACCGTGCCATGTAAATTGGGGGGAAATATATTATATTCATCCATAATATATAAATAGTTGTTTGCCTGTTCCGGTATTTCCCATTGGTTGCTCTCTTCAACTGTTTCCAAACCAGAATCCACATTTCCGAAAAATGTACTATAGCGGGGTCTTCACCATTGCGCCCTTCAAAATCTATGATCTGCTCGACCTCATGAAACATATAGTCATTGTTTGACTAGAATCCATCAACATCAATTTATTCGATATGGATTGGGGTCAATGTGTGTTGTTGGGAGCCTAGTGTGTCTCCTTGTCACCCCTGTAACTCTGACAATTTATTAATATATATATATATATGGAACCCGTTTGAAATGGTATGGATTTTGATATAGATCTCATTGCACAAGGGTATGGAATGGTCCCCTTACTTTATACCCAATGTACTTGCATGCAGGAGGGGCGTTCGGCTGTTGGCTTAGACATCCGAATGAGTCAGAGCTTGGACATATTGTCCACCAACCGTGTATGACTGGAGTTCCTTAAAGGATTGCAAATGGACTAGATAAAACTGGAAACTGATGAATGAAGTGAAGTTATCATCCTAGGTCCGGTTCCCGATCGTGAGCGAAGAGACAAGTGGAAGGATAAGGAGAAGACGAGTAGAGAGAACCGGAAGGTAACGACTGGCATGAACTGTGTACCGGGAGGATTCTAAGAAGGATTCATTCAGCACCTCTACCAGGTTTGCAGGCTCAGCAGAAAAGGTGCCAGCTTACTAGCTGCACCAGTTTGTTCAACGTTTGTGTTTATGAGCCTTGGTTCACAAAAGATCTTTCGGAGGTGATATTGCTTTCCTTAAAATAAGTCATTGTTTCCACATATCATTAGGGGTGTTTAATGGTGTTCATCAATTTTGGTGTCCAGACAAGGCGCCAAAAAAATTGACTCCCTTATGCACCAATGATTCGTCTAAGTATGTTTTAATTTTGATAGGCTCGATGGGGTCTATTTTTCAGAGCCGATGAACACGTACAGACAGTGTCATACAATGCCGACCTTTGGAGAATACTTGAGTGGCCATATTTCCCCAACGCCCTAGGTCACGAGGCAGCACAGGGAGGTCAGCCCTGGAGCCGAGTGGGAACACTTCTTTCGATTCGGTCTCTCAAGGCAATCTAATAACATGCCGGACATTGGTCTTACTGTGGGTGGCGGCTGCCTTAAATGCATGGTGGATTCTGGAGCAGCCCAAGAACTCTTTAATGCAAGAGCTACCTGCTTTTCAATCCTTCATGAATCGAGTCAAAACCTACCGGTTCACATGAAAATGTCTGAGTAACACGGCGGGCCTACAGAGAAGCCGACTTGGCTATACTCCGGATACTTAGCTTGTTCAATCAAACTTATGAGCACCATCTCATTTATCTTTTGGGTGTTTTCTGAAGGGTTGTGTTTATATCTCATTTGTTTGTGGGCCTTTCCCTTCATATCAAAATACCAAAGGGTCATCCCATATGGAGAATAAACTATTGGGAATGCATGGAAGGACACCTCACATCACCCCATCCTTTCTTTGTGGCTCCATGCCATCTAAGGAAAGAAGGAAATCGAACACCTTGGAAAGCACAAACCAAAGGCACACCAGCTACCCAAACATGAACCGAAAGAGATGGTTCAGGCCTATACTGATGGTTCGGGCCGTTCCCGAATCAAGGGCGGGAAGGATCTCAAAGCGTCGCGATCGTACCCAAGGTGGTTCTTTGCTTAAATGATGTAGGTTTTTGAATTGTGTTTCCTCTATGATTTGATCAGCCTCCAAGAGGGATATATATCATAGCACCATTTGGGAAATTGTACATTCACCCTTACCCTTGAATATCACCTGGGGAGCCTGACAAATCTTAGTTATACGTTGGATTCAGTATGGGGTCCCGAAACTAGACGACGGTTGGCCCGAGAGCGAAAAAGATGTTTTTCAAGCAGCTCTGAGGATGGTAGTCGTAAAAGATAGTCGGTGAATAGTTGGAGAATTTTATATGAGCTATGGAAAGATATGATGTGAAATATGATGTGAAAAAGTAAGATTGATCAAGAAGAGAATATTTGGTAAAGGGCATCAGATGACATGTGTCTTGCAACCAGAGAGAGAGAAAGAGGGGGCAGAGATAAAGAGAGTGAGAGAGAGAGAGAGAGAGAAAGAGAAAGCAAGAGAGAGAGAGAGAATGAAAGGGGTGGGGTAGAAAGAAAACATGGAGAAATGTAATGTGAGCAACAAAAGTGCACAGGAGGCTCAGTGCCATGAGTCTGCGAATGACATGTGCTATCTCATTTTATTATGGTAATTCCCACACACATTGCGGAAAAAGGCGCGGCACCATCATTCCGTGAACGTGAAGAAACGCGACGCTTTTATACAGAGACACTTTTACACACAGAATCTTTTACACATAAACACTTTTACACACAGACGCTTTCACACAGAGACGTTTTTCATGCACACACACGCAGACGCATTTCCACAGAGACTTTTACACGAAAACACTTTAACACACAGACGCTTTTATACACGGACTCTTTTACACACACACGCTTTTACATGCAGATGCCTTTTTACAGACACACACACACACTTTCACACACAAACGCTTTTACACACAGACGCTTTTGCACACAGACACAGACGCTTTTACACACAGACCCTTTTACACACATACGCTTTTACACACAAACACTTTTACACACATACGCTTTTACACACGGACGCTTTTACACACAAACACTTTTACACACAGACGCTTTTACACACGAAAGCTTTTACACACAGACGGTTTTACACACAGACGCTTCTACACGCAGATGCGTTTTACACACGCACACACGCTTTCACACAAACGCTTTTACACACAGACGCGTTGACACACAAACGCTTTTACACACAGACGCTTTTACACGCAGATGCTTTTTACACACGTACACACGCTTTCACACACTAACGCTTTTACACACAGACGCTTTTACACACAGACGCTTTTACACACAGACACTTGTACACACACGCACACACGCTTTCACACACAAACGCTTTTACACACAGACGCGTTGACACACAAACGCTTTTACACACAGACGCTTTTACACGCAGATGCTTTTTACACACGCACACACGCTTTCACACACAAACGCTTTTACACACAGACGCTTTTACACACAGACACTTGTACAGAAACGAAAGCGTCCATCGCAATTTTTCCTCAGTTTTTGACGTCCAACGTCCATTTCGTGCGAAAGGGTTACGATTGGGTTGCGATTGACAACTCAAAGTCGCAATTTTTCTCAGTTTTTGACGTCCAACGTCCATTTCGTGCGTAAGGGTTGCGATTGACAACTCAAAGTCGCAATTTTTCCTCAGTTTTTGACGTCCAACGTCCATTTCGTGCGAAGGGTTGCGCGGGACAACTTCAAAGTCGCAATTTTTCCTCAGTTTTTGACGTCCAACGTCCAGTTTTTGACGTCCAACGTCCATTTCGAAAGGGTTGCGCGGGACGCTTCAAAGTCGCAATTTTTCCTCAGTTTTTGACGTCCAACGTCCATTTCGTGCGTAAGGGTTGCGCGGGACGCTTCAAAGTCGCAATTTTTCGTCAGTTTTTGACGTCCAACGTCCATTTCGTGCGAAAGGGTTGCGCGCGACCAATAAAAGTTGCAATTTTTCCTCAGTTTTTGACGTCCAACGTCCATTTCGTGCGAAAGGGTTGCGCGCGACCAATAAAAGTTGCAAAATCGCAATTTTACCTAGGTTTTGGACGTCCAACGTCCATTTCGTGCGAAAGGGTTGCGTTTCGTGGCGCTCCGGCGGCACCGCCCCCGCCTTAAGAGAGAATAGAAGAAGAGCGAGAGGAGATCTGCAGATGTGAAGGTGTGAAGATCTAGATCTGCAGGTGTGAGGGTGTGAAGATCTAGATCTGCAGGTGTGAGGGTGTGAAGATCTAGATCTGCAGATGTGAGGGTGTGAAGATCTAGTTCTGCAGATGTTGCCGCCTCGATGTTCTGGGATTTACTCCATCTGGACTTGAAAACTGCCTTCCTTCAGGGGGGAACATACGACTTAGACGCGTCATACATGTTCAGTTGCCTACTGACATCGGTCTGCCCCCTTACTTGGTTGGTTTATGCACTCGTTCAGTTTACGGACTTGCGGACGCACTGCGTCGGTGGTGGAACCGTCTTGATAAATTTCTGATTTCATTTGGCATTCAACCAACAAGAGCAGACAGATGCACATATGTGTGCTATGATGGTGCTTTCAAGGAACCAAAACAAGTTCACTTTTCCGACTCTGAGGCAACAGAACCAGCACAAGTATCCTACTATGGCGCAGGCTCGCCCTCAGGCGAGGTAGCGCGGGATGAATCCTCCGACATAGCTGAGGAAGTTCATAAGTCTCTTTTGGTTGAAGGAAGATTGTTTTCTGCTTGTTATCAACAACCCCAACCTGGAAACAGAGGAAGAACCACAAGGAGAAGAAAGTTGAAGATTGTGCATGGACAACAGTTGTTGATGCTGACATGTTGAAGTTCTTGGAATCTGTCAGGCATAAACCTGGTTGGTATCCTTTTGAGAATGGTCATGCACAAGTTGCTTATCGTGCTCAATCACTCAGGACTCCTGATCCTTATTATGATCGAAAGAAGGTCCACTTGAGGACTTCAATTGTCAAGAAGCTGAAGTTCTTGTTTCAGTCTTCTTACCTTCAGAGCGTACGTACCTTGCCACAACACCACAGTTGACACCTGAGATTGTTGAAGAACTCTTGGAACATTTCATGGATCCAGTGAATGGCAGTAATGCCAAGGGTCGAAAACCGATTGGCATGTGTTGTCTTCATGTTGATGACTTGTTTATTGCTGGCACTCCAGAGTTGCTGAAGAAGTTCAAAAGAGTTATCAGGTCACAATTCAAGATTGGTCATGAAGACATTAATGACTTGATGTTCACTGGTCAGCGTGTCAAGTGGGTGATTGATGAGAAGACTAAG